ATTTTGATTCTTTACACGTGTAATGATGTCCAGTGACTTGTTTGCATTATTTATGCATTATTTTATTTATTTGTAAGAATTTTTTATTACTAAATTTGGTAATGGGAGAGTACAATTATTTTTAAAACGTACACCGTTCAAACTAGGCTGCTTATGTTGAAGTGTTTGGGATGTGGCTTTTAATGATGAGACCTTTTTTGTAATCAGGCTCTCAAAAAGTATATAAAAATTTGGATATAGATTTATCGGCCAACATATCGGTTATCGGCTTTCAAAAATAAAGAATTATCGGTTATCGGTATCGGCCAAAATTTTCATATCGGTGCATCCCTAATAATAAGTGTGCGATTGCATTGTTTGTTACACTTTTGCTGGAAGGAATCCTGGCCCCTCCAAAAGAGGTATCCGGTATCATGGAAGATTGTGTTGTCTTTTGTGCGTCACTCTCCCAATGGTGAAGATTGCGCTGATAGATTATCCATCCCTCCCTGATGGCGAGATTATCTCACGGCCTTAGCGGGGCCACATCCCAGGGCTTATATTTTGGCGGTTGAGATGGGAGACAAGATAGGTGAGGCGGTGATCTCTGTGGAGATAGTCCCAACGTTGAGGGGGTGGGGGGACATTGGGATTATAATTACATTTGGCTGAAGCATTCTCATCTTTGTCATGTTTGTGTTGTTGTTTGGGACTGGCTGGGTGTATCTCTAGATAAGTAAAAAAAAAAAAAGAGAGAGAGAAAAGCAGATAAGGGTAGAGTAGGATGGCAGGGCTGATAAGGGCTGGGGGAGAGAGGCAGGAATACAGAAATGGTAGATGGATGTATGCTGCGTTTTAAAAGCAGCTGCCTCAGTGAGATCGCAGGGGCCGATAAGCGAGCCGTTGAGATGATTGGGAGATAACAGAGAGGAGATGCTCACAGATAACAGCCGAGTGACATCATTCAAACGGCTCAGAGGTCGGCGTGAATTATTCACGAGCTCCCAGAATTTGGCGTCAGCAGCTGGAGGATGTTTGAGAAGCCCGGGCCAGACAATGCACTTGTTTGAGTTACCACCTCCTGTACCTTGGGCTTGCACCTTTGAAAGCGTGGACAACTGATGGGATCTCTTCCTGTTTTTGTTGAAAGCATTCTCAGAGCTTTCGCTGCTGTCAGGTTCAGAGTCCCTGAGGTCTAGTTTAATACTCCGCCAAAAATATCGAAAAGAATGAGAGATCACAGGCTTTCTCACACATATGCACACACACTGTTGCGTCTTGTTGGTTTTGCTTGTGTGTTTTCCTTCTTTGTTCTGCTTTTAGCTCGATGTGAACTTTTGATAAAGCCTGGGGCCTGATCTCCGGTATAGATAGAGATCGCCAAGTGCGATAAGAGTTGTTATCAGCGCAGAGCAGGCAGGAGCTGAGGCTCTGCTGCAATAACAAAGCTACACGTAAGAACAGCAGGGCCCTGGACCCTGGCAATCAGTTCCAGCCCTAATGTGATTAATGTTGTTGTATAATTAGATGATAGGTGTGAATGCATTCCCCCCTGCCTTAGTTACTCCCCCACCCTCTCGGTTCCCACCCTTGTGTTTTTCTCCTAACAAGCGTTGTGGTTGATTAATTTAATTAAAACTAATTCCACATATTACTCACTGTAGATCTTGTGTTAGATAGCATTGAGATGCAGGGGTTTTTTTTGTTCGTCGATGTTAATCTGCAGTGTGCGTTTTGGTGAAAAACAGCAAAAAAAAAAAAAAAAGTATTCAGCTCTACGCCTTGTGAAAGGAAACAAGAATGTGGCATCAGCAGTATGGCTGAAATGTTGATTTGCAGTGAGATATTAGATACTGAGTGATAGTGGGTGCAATGAACACTGAGAAAGTTATAAAGACTTTATAATGTGTTGCAAAGCCAAGGACGCTTTCATGATTTTGATAAAACATGATTATCAATGATTTCTGGTATCTGATAATCTTTAAAGCAGGTTGTTAAGGTCTTCAAAGTCCTGCTTTGAATTATTATTAGCCTACTTAATAATGCATCTTGCTTTTGAACTATGCTTATAGATACTAATGTTATGGTAAAATGAAGACAAAGCCAATTATTTATATGTACACTATCATTCAAAACTTTGAAGACTTTTATGCTCACTAAAACTACACAACAACCAGTAATAATGTATTCCTGTGATAGTAATTTTTTGTAGAAATATGGATGTTATTTCAGGATTCTTTGATGAATTAAAAGAATAGCATAAATGTTATTATGATGAATATTACGTCTATTATAGGTTTAACACAAATGCTTCTAGTGAGCCAAAAACATCTCTTAATATATTGATGTAAGGATTTTTATTTATATATTTGTTGCTTTCTGCTGACAAATCTCTGTCACTCAATCTTCAGCTTGCTGAAACCTGAAATTTTTATCTAAAACCCAAATCTTTAACTACAACCTTTTTTTCGGAAATGGTTTATTTGTTCCAAACCCATATAGCTATAATGTTACTACTTATTTATTAGAATTTTGTGTAATGTGTTAATTGGTCAATACAGCTGGTGATTGGTGCAGCCCATGAGCTCTCCTGATTGGGTGAGAGAGTTTGAAA